AGGTGGAATACACAGCCCCAGGCACTGCCACTCCTTTTGGCAGCAGCCTGCAGTTAAATCAGATTAAGGTGATTAAGGAGCCAGCCCCTGAGTTGGTTCTGTGTCTGCAGATTCTCGAGTCGCATCGGTGCGGAGCTGTGCCCCTGCTCCTGGGAGAAGGCTCGCTCCTTCGCCTGGGCTTGAGGAAGGGCAAGAGTCTCAGGAACTGCAACGTTCATCTAACATTTAGGAATCTGGGGTAGTGATGGAGGCATGCATACATACATTGGTTAAAATCCCCACCAGTCATCAATAGCAACTGAAAACTGTTCCGCAGAGTTAATAATTCATTAATATAATGACCAATCCTAGTAAGAATCTTCTATTTTACTTTTTGAAAATATGCACTTAGAGTAGCTTACTGGTGGTCCCTAGGCACCTGGGAAGGCTGAACTTCAAACAATCTAACCGCACGCCTGTTACTGATGCAGCAGTACCTTTAAACTGGCAGGGAGCAGGACCGAAACTCCAAACATGCAGCGTGAAGAAGACGCGCAGCAGTTGCCACGCACACGCCACCTCCCCGGACTAGGCAACACACCCTCCTGCAACTATACGTGATCTCCGAAAAAGCCCCTCTAAGAGAAAAACCTGAACTGCCAGCTTGCAGCTTGGCAACTCCAAAGGTCTTCCTCAGTCACCTGCATGAATCATCTGCGCTGTGGCAACAACTAAAGTTGCTATTTCCGTCTTAATTTAGATGTGCATTTGGTACAATCTGAAAGCCCACAGAGCGTTGCCATACCATTCTGTTGATTGTACAGTGCTTATTATCACAGCAGCTAAATGCTTGTTATAAATATATTACACGAACAATTACACTTCTCATGACCGTGACTGCATTGTACAGCACTTTTTGTTAAAATTACATTTCTATGCAGATCAAAAAAAAGCACATGCAGTTAGAGCCTGTCAATACTAAACCTACAAACTCAGGCAAAACATTCAAAGTGCTGAACTTCGAATTTCAGAGAATGCCCCAAAACTATGCCACGTATTTTAAAAGAACCGTTATGTACTGTGCAGCGTTTGCCGTATCTGGACATTTCATGAAGCACTACAGTTAGAGATACAAGAAGTCCTACCCTTCTCTTAAAAGTCTTTTTTCTTCCACAGTTTGTGCCAACTTGTTTCCTATTACAGACATACTCTGCTCAGTGCGGTCTTCAAGCGCAAAAATGTATCTTCCTTAGTTTTGTTTCTGAGTGTAATGTTCTTGTTGCTTTCGTTTCTCTTCCTACGTGATTCTTCAACTACCACTCAGATTTAAAAAAATTCTTTCATTTTTCACCCCCACCACAGACACCAGGGGTTTTTTCTGAGGTTGTTTTCTTTTCTTCACAGTAGGTGAGCAAAGACACTCTTGTGAAAGGTCTTCCTCTGCCTCAACCCACTACAGCCCCATTCCCATGCTCACCCAAAGAAGCCAAGTCCCTCAACCTTCTCAGCCATGTATCCGTATTACAATGCCACCTAAAACATTCTGCCCTTTGCTTTCCCTAGCCTGGAAAGCAAATAATATCTTAGACACTCAGATCCTAAGTTTGGTGAAGCATTGCCACTTAAAAGAACTAAAGACACAGAGGCTGTTTCACTTCTTTTAAGCCTCTTCCCCTTGATAGAGGGAAACTTCTACTTCACTGTCTTTGTTCCTTTTCCTCTGCTGCCTTTCCCTCCCCACCCCCAATATTATTTTTCTAATCCTACTAACCCACAGCAGACAGACTTCAAGATCTGGAAGTGATACCACTGAACAGAAGCCCTGCTCTCCGATCACGCACGCACCATCTCAGGTAAAAGAGCTGGCTAATTACCAGAAAGAACGAAGGACTAACTTCTTTATTTGAATTAATACCCCTACACGTCAATGCCAGCTGCCCAACTTCAGAGGGGTTACTCCAGCACGACTGCATAAGCAAAGAGGTAGATGCCAATAACTGGTCATCACACAGGAGGCAGAATTAAAAAAAGTATTTCTTTTTTAAACTAACCAGTGGTGTATTGCATCTATGTATTTTATAATAACTATGCCCAGAACAGTATATTCCTAATAGAAGCACTAGGTTTTCTGTACATTCTGGAAAAAAGACTGAAATGTTATTATTTTAGTGTGATGTGCAGCATATTAAACTTGTTAGAACTATACTAACACACTTCAATGCATTTGAAAAAAA